TCGTCCAATGACTGCCCCCCTGGCTGCTGCTCTATCTGGGGTGCTCCGGTCACCCCCGGCTGCCCCCCTGGCTGTAGCACTCCCAGGGGTGCTCCGGTCGCCCCCGGCTGCCCCCCTGGCTGTAGCACTCCCTGGGGTTCTCCAGTCACCCCCGTCTGCCCCCCTGTCTGTAGCACTCCCACGGGTGCTCCGGTCACCCCCGGCTGCCCCCCTGGCTGCTGCTCTCTCTGGGGTGCTCCAATCGCCCCCAGTTGCTCCCCTGGCTGTAGCGCTCCCTGGGGTGCTCCTGTCACCCCCGACTGCCCCCCTGGCTGTAGCACTCCCAGGGGTGCTCCGGTCACCCCCGGCTGCCCCCCTGGCTGTAGCACTCCTTGGGGTGCTCCGGTCACCCCCGGCTGCCCCCCTGCCTGTAGCACTCCCAGGGGTGCTCCGGTCACCCCCAGCTGCTCCCCTGGCTGTAGCACTCCCAGGGGTGCTCCGGTCACCCCCGGCTGCCCCCCTGGCTGTAACACTCCCTGGGGTGCTCCGGTCACCCCCGGCTGCCCCCCTGGCTGTAGCACTCCGTGGGGTGCTTTGGTCACCCCCGGCTGCCCCCCTGGCTGCTGCTCTCCCTCGGGTGCTCCGGTCACTCCCGGCCGCCCCCCAGGCTGCTGTGTTCTCTGGGGTGCTCCGGTCGCTCCCGGCTGCCCCCCAGGCTGCCGTGTTCTCTGGGGTGCTCCGATCACCCCCGGCTGCCCCCCTGGCTGTAGCATTCCCAGGGGTGCTCCTGTCACCCCCAGCTGCTCCCCTAGCTGTAGCGCTCCCTGGGGTGCTCCGGTCACCCACGGCTGCCCCCCTGGCTGTAGCACTCCCAGGGGTGCTCCGGTCACCCCCGGCTGCCCCCCTGGCTGTTGCACTCCCAGGGGTGCTCCAGTCACCCCCGGCTGCCCCCCTGGCTGCTGCTCTCTCTGGGGTGCTCCGATCGCCCCCAGCTGCTCCCTTGGCTGTAGCGCTCCCTGGTGTGCTCCTGTCACCCCCGGCTGCCCCCATGGCTGTAGCACACCCAGGGGTGCTCCGATCACCCCCGGCTGCCCCCCTGGCTGTAGCACTCCCAGGGGTGCTCCAGTCACCCCCGGCTGCCCCCCTGGCTGTAGCACTCCCAGGGGTGCTCCAGTCACCCCCGGCTGCCCCCCTGGCCGTAGCACTCCCCGGGGTGCTCCGGTCACCCCCGGCCGCCCCCCTGGCTGTAGCACTCCCAGGGGTGCTCCGGTCACCCCCGGCTGCCCCCCTGGCTGCTGCTCTCTCTGGGGTGCTCCAATCGCCCCCAGCTGCTCCCCTGGCTGTAGCGCTTCCTGATGTGCTCCTGTCACCCCCGGCTGCCCCCCTGGCTGTAGCACTCCCCGGGGTGCTCCAGTCACCCCCGGCTGCCCCCCTGGCTGTAGCATTCCCAGGGGTGCTCCTGTCACCCCCAGCTGCTCCCCTAGCTGTAGCGCTCCCTGGGGTGCTCCGGTCGCCCCCGGCTGCCCCCCTGGCTGTAGCACTCCCAGGGGTGCTCCGGTCACCCCCGGCTGCCCCCCTGGCTGTTGCACTCCCAGGGGTGCTCCAGTCACCCCCAGCTGCCCCCCTGGCTGCTGCTCTCTCTGGGGTGCTCCAATCGCCCCCAGCTGCTCCCTTGGCTGTAGCGCTCCCTGGTGTGCTCCTGTCACCCCCGGCTGCCCCCCTGGCTGTAGCACTCCCAGGGGTGCTCCGGTCACCCCCAGCTGCTCCCCTGGCTGTAGCGCTCCCTGCGGTGCTCCGGTCACCCCCGGCTGCCCCCCTGGCTGTAGCACTCCCAAGGGTGCTCCGGTCACCCCCAGCTGCTCCCCTGGCTGTAGCGCTCCCTGCAGTGCTCCGGTCACCCCCGGCTGCCCCCCTGGCTGTAGCACTCCCAGGGGTGCTCCGGTCACCCCCAGCTGCTCCCCTAGCTGTAGCGCTCCCTGGGGTGCTCCGGACACCCCCGGCTCCCCCCCTGGCTGTAGAGCTCCCAGGGGTGCTCCGGTCACCCCCGGCTGCCCCTCTGGCTGCTGCTCTCTCTGGGGTGCTCCAATCGCCCCCAGCTGCTCCCCTGGCCAAGGCGCTCCCTGATGTGCTCCTGTCACCCCCGGCTGCCCCCCTGGCTGTAGCACTCCCAGGGGTGCTCCGGTCACCCCCAGCTGCTCCCCTAGCTGTAGCGCTCCCTGGGGTGCTCCTGTCACCCCCGGCTGCCCCCCTGGCTGTAGCACTCCCAGGGGTGCTCCGGTCACCCCCAGCTGCTCCCCTGGCTGTAGCGCTCCGTGGGGTGCTCCGGTCACCCCCGGCTGCCCCCCTGGCTGTAGCACTCCCAAGGGTGCTCCGGTCACCCCCAGCTGCTCCCCTGGCTGTAGCGCTCCCTGCGGTGCTCCGGTCACCCCCGGCTGCCCCCCTGGCTGTAGCACTCCCAGGGGTGCTCCGGTCACCCCCAGCTGCTCCCCTAGCTGTAGCGCTCCCTGGGGTGCTCCGGTCACCCCCGGCTGCCCCCCTGGCTGTAGCACTCCCAGGGGTGCTCCGGTCACCCCCAGCTGCTCCCCTGGCTGTAGCGCTCCCTGGGGTGCTCCGGTCACCCCCGGCTGTCCCCCTGGCTGTAGCACTCCCCGGGGTGCTCCGGTCACCCCCGGCTGCCCCCTTGGCTGCTGCTCTCTCTGGCGTGCTCCAATCGCCCCCAGCTGCTCCCCTGGCTGTAGCGCTCCGTGGGGTACTCCTGTCACCCCCGGCTGCCCCCCTGGCTGTAGCACTCCCAGGGGTGCTCCGGTCACCCCCGGCTGCCCCCCTGGCTGTAGCACTCCCAGGGGTGCTCTAGTCACCCCCGGCTGCCCCCCTGGCTGTAGCACTCCCCGGGGTGCTCCGGTCACCCCCGGCTGCCCCCCTGGCTGCTGCTCTCTCTGGGGTGCTCCAATCGCCCCCAGCTGCCCCCCTGGCTGTAGCGCTCCGTGGGGTGCTCCTGTCACCCCCGGCTGCCCCCCTGGCTGTAGCACTCCCCGGGGTGCTCCGGTCACCCCCGGCTGCCCCCCTGGCTGCTGCTCTCTCTGGGGTGCTTCAATCGCCCCCAGCTGCCCCCCTGGCTGTAGCGCTCTGTGGGGTGCTCCTGTCACCCCTGGCTGCCCCCCTGGCTGTAGCGCTCCCAGGGGTGCTCCGGTCACCCCCGGCTGCCCCCCTGGCTGTATCACTCCCTCGGATGCTCCGGTCACCCCTGGCTGGCCCCCGGCCCTCTTCCCTCCCTGTCGTCGCCCCCTTCGGCGCCGCGCCCGCGGCCTTTCCGCTTGGCCCGTGCCGCCCGGGCTAGTGACCCCCTGCTGATCCTGCACCTGCAACTCCTGCGACTCCCCCATCGGCAACCCCTGTTGTACGCTTCCAGTCAAGGGCTGGTTCGCCTCATGACACCCTTGCCGCCGCCCTTCCTGCGACTGGGGTTGATTCCCAATTTGACTCCCCTCCTGCACGCCTACCGGCAGCTCCCCTCGCGCCTCCTCTTGTGGCTCCTCCATCTCCACCTCCAGCTCATGCAGCTCTTGCTGCCCCCCCGCCTGCAGCTCCTGCTGCCCCCCTGCTTGCAGCTCCTGCTGACCCTCCTCTTGCAGCTCCTGCTGTCCCCGCGACTGCAGCTCCTGCCGTCCCCCCGCCTGCAGCTTCTGCTGCCCCCCAGCACGCAACTCCTGCTGCTCCCCGGCCCCCTGCTCCACCTCCAAGTCCATATGCCTATGTAGGTACATATGCCTATGTAGGTACTGATTTACTTTACATGTGTCATGCATGTTAGTTTATTATGTTTTCTGGTCTTGTGAAGTTGAATACCCCCTTGATGAAGTATCTCAAATTTCTAAGGAATATGTTTTTCCCGCTAAAGTGTATAATTAGGTGGAAGATTGCGCTTTCACGGGTTGCCTTCTGCTCAGGGAACCATGGCAGCCGGGGACAAATCAGGATGGGCCACGAGGCGTTGGGGCAGCTGATCCGCGGTTCGCTCGCAGCATCAACAAGTCTCGTACGTGCTGTCAGATGCCCACGTTTCTGGTTAGGGGCAATGGCCCATTGGGTTGGATACCCAGGAAACTACGAGAAACTGCTTCACAAGACCTGTACTGTAATTGGGTGCCACCCCGTAGTGAGGGCTGGTTGGGGGTTTTTACCACCCCGACAAGGAACCGAAATGAAAGCGTGAGGTTGGTTCATGAACAAATTCTGACATAATATTAGAATTCCAGGGGGAAACAAATATGTTTTTCGGCTAGGAGCCCGGCCACTGCCCTCTGTACTGTACCGTATCACAAACTCCGGCGCGGTGATTCCGACCTAGTGCGTCACGGGAGGGCGAGGCAGGGCAGGCAGGACCCAGCAGCAGCAGGAATCATGCATGCGAGGGTCAACAGAATGGGCATCCGACCCAACAACATCGACGGTTGAGAGAGGCACGCAGGGGCAATCCCACGGCCAACCGACCGAACCACGGCAGTCGTTGCTGCAGGGAACACTGGAGCATGGAAATTGGGTGACCGACATACGGTTAGTTATGATATGTCAACTACCCAGTCTGTGGCAAGTAGGCTAGACCTTGGGATGGCATTCTCATTTTTCCTGACCGAGGTTGACGTCTCTCGTTCCATGCACAGATTCTGCCGAGTCTTTTTTGTGACGGAACCGTGGTTGCCTGGTGGCACACTCTGCTATGATGTGATATCCAGGAGTTGCTAGTATAAAGCGCGACGAGTTGTTAGAGTCCAGTGTCTGATCTTGCCTTCGCAAGTAGCAGAAGGCCTGTGCAGCCGTTGGTGCAAGTCCTCAGCATTCGTCTACTTATCGAGAGCGTACAATGTGTCTTGGCCGCGTTGCCTGCTTCTAGCTACCAACACCGCGTCAGCCTACTTAGAGACGTTTAGAGTTCAAATCGCTGATTGGCGATCGTGATGCGTCAATTGAAACTAACTCAATCCGCCACTGGCGGATTTTCATGGCTTCTGGCCGTCGTCGCGATGGCTCTCGTCGTCGTCGCCCTAGTGGGAGATATGCTCCCTCCGTGCGCTGCTGTGAACACACAAGCAGGTACGATGACTTAGAGTCGACTCAGAACTCAACACGGAACTAAGTACGATGATCTCTTCCGGAATAAATTCGCCTCAGTACGCTTGAGTTCCATAGCTCCGAATCTAAAGCGCCTCCTTTTCGAAGACTCAACTCCGGATACTGAGAGCCCCAATTCTCTGCACTTGGAGCGCCTCAGTTCTTGGTTAGACGTGTAGCATACTATAGGAGGGGAGGCAACGAGCGGATAGCTTCGAAGCGCCATGTTCGAACTCTTAGAGCCTTAATCACGCAGTGGAAGCGTCACACTTCTTGGTTAATCGACTTTTTTGAGGCGCCTCATAAGACGCGCCTTAGTTCTGGTTAGACGCGCCTTCAAGCAGGGGAGCCATCACTCCCAATTCTCCACATCGCTCTCAATCCTCCCGCCGCTCTCGATCCCCTCCTCTATCCCACCAGCACGAAAGGCCGAATGCGAAGCAGCATATCGTGCATTGGAGTCCGTGCCGTCAGTGCTGTCGAATCGGGAAGGGATCGACGGGCTGGGACCCACTAACTCCCTGTTGTTCTGCAACCCCTCCCTCCATCCTCCCTTCCACCCCCACCCCTCCTAGCAGCAGGGCGGAGGCCGAACGCGAAGCAGTACATCGTGCATTTGAGGTCCGTGCCGTCCGTGCTGTCGTACCGGGGAGGAATCAACGGGCTGAGGGCGACAGCGACTGTAGACGATGAAGAGGATGAGTATGACGAGGATGACGGGGAGGATGGGGGTGATAATCCTGGTGGTGGTACTGGTGGCAATGGTGGTGCTGGTGGCATTGGGGGGAACGGCACAGCACCAGGGTCAGCAGCAGCACCAGCGCCAGCAGCAGCAGGAGTAACTCCAGCGCCCGCAGCAGCAGGAGCAGGAGCAGAATCAAATGAAGTATCGGGGTTGGCATCAGAATCAGGAAAGGAGTCGTTCGATGAGGATATTCTGTCCGCTGCAGTGGCTGCTGCCGAGGCAGCAGTGGAGATTGGCGGAGTGATGGGAGCAGCAGGGGGAGCAGAGGAAACAGGAAAATCAGGAGTAGCAGGTGTGGCAGGGTTAGCAGCAACAGCAGCAGCAGCAGGTGGGATAGGGGGGCGGCTAGGAAAAAAAGTGGGAATTAGAGCAGTCGCGTTTAGAGAGGCAAGGATGGACGATCTGGCGAGGCGGGTGGGTGTGCGCCTGAGGAATTTCCGATCGCGGTCGGCTGGTTTGGGCCGGAGGCTGCTGGCTCGCGTTGCTGCTGCTGCCGTGGCCGCTGCTGCAGAAGAAGCAGCAGGAACTGATGCTGTCGCTGATGTTGATAGTGGTGATGATGCAGCTTTGGGTGACTTTGAATTCCCTTTCACCAATTCTTCACTTCCGGCGCACAATGCTGCTGCTGCTGCTGCTGCTTCTGCCATCGGAACCATTCGTGGCGTGAGTTCAGCGTCAGCGTCCACGTCAGCAACAGCAGGAGCCACGTCACCCGTGCTGACAGCGCAGCAGCTGAGCGTGAGAGCGGCGCACATCATGCGCACCACGCCGTGGGGCCGCCTCATGCGACCCGACGTGCGGTTACCGCACGTGCAGGCCTTCACGCGCTTCCTGGAATCTTCCCACCGCAGTCTGCTGAGATCACTCAACATTCCAGTCTCGTCCATTTTCCACAGGTGAGACACAGTTGGGCTGTGGCGGCTAGAAATTCGGAGTCCCAGCTTCAGGTTAGCTGGGTTAGCTGTGGCTGCAAGGAGACGTTGTTTAAACCACTCCACAGAAAAGTCACTCTTGAGTTTTGTTGGCAGAGCAGTGCAGATGGCCTTGGTGCTTTAGAAGGCCAACGTCTCCTTGGGAAGCACTCAGATGTACCAATTGAGTTTCTCCTCAGTCACCTGAGGTCTTAAACCTGGGCTTCAGTCTTGAGTGAACCCGAATTCTTTCGATTCTATTCCGCCTTGCCCCTCCTCCTGTATCCTCCCATGCCTCCCTCCATTCCTCGCAGTTACTCGTACCTGATGAACAGCTTTGCAGCTCAATTGACCCCAGCGGAAGCGAAGAGGCTGCGTTTCCACCCTGCAGTGGCTGACGTGGAGCCAGATAGGAGAGTGCGCATGACCACCGTGAACTCTCCCGAGTTTCTAAAGATGGACACGAGTCTCTGGCCGGCTGCGGGCGGGCAGAGCAGTGCGGGGGAGGGCATGATCATCGGAGTGATCGACTCGGGCATCTGGCCCGAGCACCCTTCTTTCGCTGACCCGGTGAGTGCTCGGAGTGACTGAGCCCGACAGGGAGTGACTAAGCCAGACAAGATAGTGCGCATGACCACGGAGCACTCGCAGGATAGTCGCCCCTGTTCCTCGAGATGGACACGAGCCTCTGGCCAGCTGCTGACGGGCAGAGCAGCGCGGGGGAGGGCATGATCATCGGCGTGATCGACTCGGGCATCTGGCCCGAGCACCCTTCTTTCGCTGACCCGGTGAGTGCTCGGAGTGACTGAGCCCGACAGGGAGTGACTAAGCCAGACAAGATAGTGCGCATGACCACGGAGCACTCGCATGATAGTCGCCCCTGTTCCTCGAGATGGACACGAGCCTCTGGCCAGCTGCTGACGGGCAGAGCAGCGCGGGGGAGGGCATGATCATCGGCGTGATCGACTCGGGCATCTGGCCCGAGCACCCTTCTTTCGCTGACCCGGTGAGTGCTCGGAGTGACTGAGCCCGACAGGGAGTGACTAAGCCAGACAAGATAGTGCGCATGACCACGGAGCACTCGCAGGATAGTCGCCCCTGTTCCTCGAGATGGACACGAGCCTCTGGCCAGCTGCTGGCGGGCAGAGCAGCGCGGGGGAGGGCATGATCATGGGGGAGAAAGACTTCGGGATCTGGTCAGGGCACCCCTCGTTCGCCGACCCTGTGAGTGCCTGTCTTCCCATGCCCCAACGGTGCTGCATATGCTGCTGTGCCCACACGCTAGCAGGGCGCGTGCACCAAGACTGCAAACATCCAGGCATGAGTTTCCTCATCTTTGAGTCTCTACCCTGTCCCCTCTGCCAGGACCCCAACGGAGCAGCCTATTCCGCCATGCCCACGCGCTGGCAGGGCGTGTACACCAAAACGGCTGACTTCCAGGCGTGCAACAACAAGCTGATTGGCGCACGCTACTTCATTAAGGGCGCGGAGTGTTTGCCTTCCCACCCATGTCTCTCCTGCCCGCCACCCTCCCTCCTCCCTCTCCCTCTCAGGACCCCAACGGGGCTGCGTATTCAGCCAAGCCCACGCGGTGGCGAGGCGTGTGCACCAAGACCGCAGATTTCCAATCGTGCAACAACAAGCTGATCGGCGCGCGCTACTTTTTGAAGGGCGCGGAGTATACGTTTGGCAAGCTGGACGAAACCGAAGAGTTCCGGTCAGCACGGGATAAAGTGCAGCACGGCACGTGGTGTGCGGGGTGAGTGGTGTGATGGGGTGACTGGTGTGACGGGGTTAGTGGTGTGACGGGTGAGCGGGTTGACTCAGTGAGTGGTGTGAGTGGGTTGCATGGAGCATGGCGAGCAGCATACTGGAGTGAGGGGGGTTGACTGGGTGAGTGGTGTGACTGGGTGAGTAGTGTGTGTGAGGGGTGAGTGGGTTGAATAGCATGGTTGCATGGAGCATGGCGAGCAGCACACCCAGCGCCCTTTCCCTACCCTCCCGCTCTTCCGCCCCTCCCCTCTTCCACACACCAGGGCTGCAGCAGCCCAGCGGGCAACGCAGGAGTAACCGTCACGACAGGGGGCAGGAGCTACGGCACAGCATCAGGCCTGGCACAGCATCAGGCCTGGCACAGCATCAGGCCTGGCACAGCATCAGGCCTGGCGCCGCGGGCACGACTAGCAGTGTGCAAGGCACTGTGGACCATCGGGGGTTACGAGGGCACGGGGTGTCGAGTCGGCTCAACCGCCCCCTCTCTCCCTTCCCTTCCATTGCTCTGTCCTGCCCTACCCTCCGCGCCTCCCCTCCCCATCACCAGAGCGGCAGCGGGCAACGCAGGGGTAACCGTCACCACGGGGGGTCGAAGCTACGGCACAGCGTCAGGCATGGCGCCGCGGGCACGACTGTCCGTGTACAAGGCGCTGTGGACCATAGGGGGGTATGAGGGCACGGGTGCATCATCGGATCTCATAGGCGCTGCTGAGAAGGCCGTTGCAGACGGCGTGGATGTGATCTCGTGCTCCTTTGGCGGCCTTGCCATGTACTTCCAAGACCTGCCGTATCTCCGTGGACTGAAGGTACGTGCACTGACCATAAGGGGGTATGAGGGCACTGGTGCCTCGTCGGATCTCATCAGTGCTGCTGAGAAGGCCGTGGCTGATGGTGTGGATGTGATCTCATGCTCCTGGGGCGGGCTTGCCATGTACTTCCAAGACCTGCCGTACCTACAAGGCCTCTCAAGGTACGTGCACCGATCCTACAGCACAGCGTCAGGCAGGGCTGCTGTTGAGGCGACTCAAAAGACTAGCAGTGTACAAGGCGCTGTGGGCCATAGGGGGGTATGAGGGCACTGGGGCTTCGTCAGATCTCATAGGCGCTGTTGAGAAGGCTGTATCCGACGGTGTGGATGTGATATGCTCGTGAGGCAGCCTCGCCATGTACTTCAAAGACCTGCCGTACCTGCGGGGTCTCAAGGTACGTGCTGTGCTTTCGTAGTGATGGTTTGCTCTTATCTTGTGTCCCTAACACCATCTCCTGCTCCTGCGGGGGGCTTGCCACGTACTTCCCATGACCGGCAGTACCTGCGGGGCCTCAAGGTACGCGCTGCCTTGCACCCTAGCATGTGGTTTTCTGCCCTTAAAGGAAACAACATCCCCTACAAGGAGAAACGTGATTTTGTGCTCTTCACATCATCTTCGCCTCACATGATCCTCCCTTGCCTCCCGGCTTTCTTCCCTCCCTTTCCTGTTTCACCCCTGTACCTTGCAGGCAGGGGTAGTGACAGCCTTTGCAGCGGGCAATGAGGGGAAACCCAACCCCAGCAGCATCTGGGGCACCCTCGGGAACGTCTCGCCGTTCTATCTCACCGTGGGAGCGAGGTATGTGTTGAGTGATCTTTTGAGTCGACTCAAAAGCATCTGGGGCACCCTTGGGAACGTCACGTCTCTCCTTTCTACCTCACAGTGGGAGCGAGGTACGTTCTGAGTGAACTCTTGAGTCAACTCAAAAGCATATGGGGCACCCCTTGGGAACGTCTCTCCTTTCTACCTCACAGTGGGAGCGAGGTACGTTCTGAGTGAACTCTTGAGTCGACTCAAAAGCATATGGGGCACCCCTTGGGAACGTCTCTCCTTTCTACCTCACAGTGGGAGCGAGGTACGTGTGGTGGGGTGAAAGTTGGAGTGGCGTAGCGCCCGTGATCATAATGAATGGGAGTATAGCAGGCAGCGAAGGGAAGCCCAACCCTAGCAGAATCTCGGGGCACTTTTGGGAATGTCTCCCCCCCTTCTCTCTGCTCACCACAGAAAGAAACATAGGGCGTGGGTACAGGCCGACTTTTGAGTCGACTCAAAAGAGTCCATAGGGCGTGGGTACAGGCCGACTTTTGAGTCGACTCAAAAGAGTCCATAGGGCCTGGGTACAGGCCGACTTTTGAGTCGACTCAAAAGAGTCCATAGGGCCTGGGTACAGGGCCGCGCTGACTGTAGGCGCTAGGGGATGCAACCACCACCTTGAGAGGGAGGGGCGCTAGGGGATGCAACCACCACCTTCAGAGGGAGGGGCGCTAGGGGACCGCAGTCTAACTCGCTTTTCCCTCCCCTCCTCCCCACTCGCCCTCGTTTTCACAAGCGGTGCTACCCCCCCCCCCCCCCACACACTTACCCCACTCCCCGTTACCGCACTCCACCCCTCGACCACCTTCAATGGGTGCAGTCTGGCTCGACTCACAGTCCACCTTACCCCACTCCCCGTTACCGCACTCTCCGTTACCCCACTCCCCGTTACCGCACTCGACATCACAATCGCGCGCGAATACAGGGCGGTGCTGACCCTAGGGGATGCCACCACCTTCAATGGGCGCAGTCTGGTTTGACTCACAGTCCAACTTCCACCTACCCCCACTCCCTGTCACTGCACTCCACCCCTCTCCCTCTGCAGCACGATAGGGCGAGAGTACAGGGCAGTGCTGACCCTAGGGGATGCCACCACCTTCAATGGGCGCAGCCTGGGCGGAACCTCTGCCACAGGCTCAGCTCTGCCTCTCATTCTGGCTGAATCAGCTCTCACGTCAGGAGGGGATCGAGCCAAGGTGAGGTTGATCAATTTCACGTGGGGAAGGGGGAGTCAACACATGGAACATGGGGAAGGGGGAGTCAACACATGGAACATGGGGAAGGGGGAGTCAACACATGGAACATGGGGAAGGGGGAGTCAACACATGGAACATGGGGAAGGGGGAGTCAACACATGGAACATGGGGAAGGGGGAGTCAACACATGGAACATGGGGAAGGGGACTTGGAGAGGTTCTGCACTGATGCCACGGGCTCAGCTCTGCTTCTTGTACTGGCTGAATCTGCTCGGCTCCCCTCCCCTCCCCTCCCCTCCCCTCCCCTCCCACCCCACCCCACCCCACCAGGCGCGGCAGTGTTACAGTGGGCACATCAGCAGGACCGCGGTTTCTGGGAAGTTTCTCGTGTGCTCTATCCTGACACGCAAGATGGGACTGCTGCTGGCAGACGCAGATCTCCTGGGGGCGGCTGCTATCCTCGTTATAAGCGGGACGCCCAAGCAGGACATGCAGCATCGCATGCCCTACACCAGAATCCCCAGCATCTTCATACATTACTCGCGCGGCAGAACGATCAAGAGCTATGTTCAGACGGATAGCAGGTGAGCCGAGTTTTGAGTCGACTCAAAACTCGACTTTGAGTGGACTCCAAAAGTCCCCCGGCATCTTCACCCAGTACTATTCGCGCGAGAGAACGATCAAGAGCCATGCTCGAACGGATAGCAGGTGAGCTCGCTGCTTGTGTTAGTCTGAAGTCTGATTTTATTAGTCTGACTCGAAGATTCCCAGCATCTTCCTCCAGTACTCGCGTGGCCGAATCAAGAGTAACATTGCGGCGAAAAGCAGGTGAGCCTGCTGCCTCTCTTTCAATCCAGGCAAAAAACAGGTGAGCCAGCTGCTTCTGTTTTCGCTTCTTTTCATTCCCCCACTCCCCCTCTCCTCTCCCTTCTCCATTCCTCCTTCCCCTGCCCGTTTCCAATTTCCTCTCTCCCTTTTCCCCGTTCCCTCTCCCCTTTCCCCATTCCCTCTCCCCTTTCCCCTTTCCTACTTCCCAAACCCCGCTACACCCCTACACCCTGAACCCCTCCCTTCCCCACAGCCAATGCATCCCCACAGCTTCATCCCACACATCTTCTATCACCTTTTTCACATTTCCAAACTCCTCTGCCCTTTCCCTTTCTCGTATCTCTCTCTTCTCCGTCACCCCTTCTTCCCTCCTCTTTCCCCATACTTCATTCCTCCTCCTCTTTCCCCTTCTCCTACCCCTTCTCCTCTCACAAATAAGTTAGTCCACTACATGAGTGCACTGTCGCCCCTCACCTCCCCCCCACCCCCCCTCCCTCTCCTGTTCCCCTCCCATCCACAGCCCCATATCCACTCTTTCCGCCTTCACCAAATCTCACACCACCAACGCCCCCCAGGTCGCCTACTCTTGCCTTGCCATTTACTCTCTCCCACACCTCCCTCTCCTGTTCCCCCTCCCATCCACAGCCCCGCATCCACTCTTTCCGCCTTCACCAAATCTCACTCCAACAAATCCCCCAGGTCGCCTTCTTGAGCCTCACGCTTCCCCCTCCCCTTCCCTTCAGTCCCCTCCCCCTCCCTCTCGTCCCCCTCCCCTCCGCAGCCCCACAGCGACTCTATTCGCCTACACCGAACCTCATTCCACCAACGCCCCCCAAATCGCATTCTCTTGCGTCACAGCCACTCCCTCCCTCCTCCACTCTTCTCCCACTCCCTCCCTTTTCCCCCCCACAGCCCCACAGCGACTCTATCCGCCTACACCGAGTCTCAATCCACCAACGCCCCCCAAGTCGCCTTCTTCTCGTCCACCGGACCGCCCCGCAGCGCGCGCTACCCGCCCGCGCTCCTAATCCGCGACTTCCCTACTAATGACATCCTTAAACCCGACGTCATGGGCCCAGGGTTCCAGCTATGGGCCGCGGCGCCGGGCAAGGCCGTCGCGACCGCCGCGACGGACGCGCCAGAGTTTAACTACTGGTCGGGAACATCCATGTCCACGCCGCATTTGGCGGGGATCATGGCGCTGATCGTGCAGGAAAAACCTAACTGGTCGCCCGCGCAGGTGATATCCGCAATCACGACGACGGCGTATACGAAGAATAAAAACGGGCAGCCGATTCAGCGGGCGGATGGGTCGAAGGCGAACGCGTGGGACTACGGAGGCGGGCATGTGGATCCCACGCGCGTGCTCGATCCCGGGCTCACGTTTCACAGCGCGCAGAAGCAGTTCGTGAATTTTCTTATGGGGAGGGACCCGCTCCGAGCGAAGAAGCGGTTTTGGCGAATGGGGAAGGCTCGGCCGATTTTCCCCTGGAGCATCAATCGGCCTTCGATCGCGGTAACCAGGCTACACGGCGTTATGGTTGTGTACCGGAAAGTGAAAAACGTCTACAATCTACCGTCTATTTATACTGCAAAGGTGGACCCTCCACCTGGGTTTACAGTGAAAGTATCGCCTAAACAGATGGTTATTCCGCCGGGGAAGTCCAAGTTGTTTAGGGTTACCATCATAAGGTTTCTTCCTCTAAACGAGTTTAGGTTTGGAAGCATCTTGTGGACAGACCAACATGGGCACTCAGTACCTGTTAAGCTGGTGGTTAGCTCTCCTGTTTGGCCTTAAAAAGAAACGCATCCCATTGGATTGCATTAATTTTATAAACTAAGTCTCCCTTGCAATGCCAATATTTTTTTGCATTTATAAGCGATTCATTTTTCTGCTAGCACGGCTGCAGCTGTGAGATGCACGAATGATTGTAAAATACGCCCTAAAGCAGTAGTTTTAGCAGTGTATTTGGTTACTTCCGGGTACACCCTGATGCTCACTCGACCGCCCACTTTGAACACGCCTGCTGCCACTCCATACGCCCAATGGTCGACATTCACAGCCAACGGCCCGCTCGTTACTGGCCCACGACAAAACCAGGACATTCTTGACCTCGAATAAGCTAATCTAGTTTTCCAGACAAAACACGCTGGGCTACCCACAATTATAGCGACTGTTCTACATTCAGTCCCATTTTACCCCTAGTGAGCACTTGCTCGAGAGAGAAGCATAGGGAAAGATGGGGAAAGAGACTGAAATAGGCATCAGGTGTAACACATAAACAGAGGGACAGGCGGCGACTATTGGACATGCAAATAGTCCAAACAAATGACGTCATGCAGAGGTTCTTCGAAACTTCATGAAGTGTGCACCGGATTTTGTTTTTTTAATTACACAAATACGCTAGTGTACTGTTAGTTCGATCATCATTGCTGTAATTTGTGCCTGTTATCACCTTCAAGTCAATATCCAAACCTAGGTCACATTCTCGGTGTTCGATTTTTGTGCCCTTTTTTTGTGACATTTGTCCAGTTTTAGTGATAGCGACCCCTCAATCGTGCCTTGGTTTTCCAGATCAATCGAACCACTGTACAGCGCTTGTACACCTAGTCTGCGGTATTTTAACCGCCGCTATCTTAACCACGCGAGGGTACTTTTCCTTTATCAAACTTATTTAGTCGGGTTGTTTTGAACTTTACGAGGGTAGAATCTAGCATTCCCTTCGCGAGATGACAGCAGAAAAAACTCAGTGAATGCCGAGTGTGACAAATGTCAGTCCGTCTATCTTGGAGCACTAAGTGTGAGTTCCTTAGAAGGAAGTGCTTTCGGCTGCAGAATCGTAGCCTCGATGACTCCTGGTGCTAAAAACATTACCCAGAAACGAACAAAGGGGGTTTGAAAGAACAAAGTTCACCTGGTTAAAATACCGCGGACTAGGTGTACGTCACCCGCATTGATTTCGACACCCACAATGCTGCACACTTGTACGGATCGCCCGTGTGAGAAGGAGAGTACAGTTGCCAGCTATACACCAGCACCAAGGACTATTGGCGGGAACTTTACAAAATTATTAATGCGGCACAAGGGCTTTGCTGGCCGAGTGTTTGGGAACAGCGTGGATGTTGCCCCCTCAACTTGCTACCTTAGGATCAATATCTTCTCGTTGAGATATCATTCTCTGACTCGCATCCGACGCACTTGCCAGCTTTCCACGAAACGAGGAGTTTCATTGGCGTATGGCTTCTACGAAACACCTTGATTTGCTGAATAAAGCGTCACTTGTTGTCCAGCTGGGTCGAATCGGTCAAAACCATTCAAAGTTGCGCGAATCCGTGACGATTTGGCGTCACACTGAAAACTCTGGCGGTCGCGCCGAGAGGCGTGCGAATCGGGGCCTTGGTGTGCAGGTCAAACCGATTATACGGTTTGTGCCACGCACATGGGAGAGTGGTGTGCCCATGACATGGATCTGCCAGCCGTTTATACGAATGACCTGGATTTCTAGATTTTGGTGCTGGCCTGATGGTGGTGCTTGGTGTATGGGAGTCTGGGACCACATGGGGCAGCGACCAAATGTTCTATAGCCTTTCTAGGCGCACATTCCTTGTCCTCCGTGTATCTGACCTCCGTGTACTGTTCAAGACCGTCAGGAACTAGTCTACTGCTCCTTTCAGATGTCCGCAAGTGGCAGAGTAACGTTCTACTGTAATATCCTTTCGTTGCCCATTTATCCCTAACCTTCCAATCAGCCCTCAAAGTTCACGGGTCAGCCAGGTGACGGGTGAAGTGTTTCTGCCCGGACAAGACCTTCAACTTCCATTGGTCGTTCACGGCTAAGCACAACATCCATTCTGCTGACAGCAATTCTCGGGCTCAACTGCAACATTTGTGACACAAAGAGCTGTTCAGTATACACATACTGTACAGTTCAGGTAGAGAGACCTGCCCTGAACCCTTCTACTCCCACTTTTACCTCCCTCCTCTCTTCCCCCATTCCCTCGATTCCTCCCAAATCGCGTGAATAAATCGGGTAGGGGAAATGGAAGCGCAGTGCTGGCAACATTATGGTGTGCTGGCGTGGGTTGACTTCGACTGTACCGCTAGACGCCGAAATTCTTCTGCAGGCCGGGTGGGCATTGCTCAACCGCCAAGTGCGCCTCACTTGATCTGAAGTTCCTTCCCTCGCTGAACTGAACTGAATCCTCCCCAGTTTCTCTTCCCCATTTTCTCTCCTCACTTCCGTGCAGCACAGAATTCCCACAGCTGCACAGCACAGTTCGCACATGCAGCTCACAGAGCTGTGCAACAGTGCAGCACAGTGAGAAGAAAACATAAGCGTTTGCACTGCGATGCGTGAAGTACAGTACTGAAGGCGTAACAATTGGCGGTTGAAGCTCTTTTCTCCCTTCAACGTTCTCTCCTTTCGTCTGGGCCATCCCTCCCTCTCTCGTTGTCGTCCCGTCGGCACATCAACCCTTGTTCATACCTCCCCCTGTCTACACTCAGAGAGGACCTTCACCAAGCCCCCCTTTTCTCAACATTGCGTCTACCTCTCGCTCAGCGGTTATCAGTCAATGCCACAGCCGTCTGTGGCTCATTCTTGCAAATATCTATCACTTCTTACCTTGATTCTTGGCCACTCGTTCTGTTTTCAACTCTCTGTTACCGTCTTTTCGAGATATTTGGAGCAGCCCATTCAACCCCTGGCTTGTATTTCCGCGCGCCGCCGTTTCTGCGGAGTTTTCTTCAGCCTTCGCTTCTAACGCGCTGCTCTTTCAACCCGTACCGAGATATTTCGTTCCTTCGTCTCTATCAATTCTGCTTCGGCACATCGCCAACATTAGGTTTCTAGATTTTACGTTCCTGAAGCTCACGACGAGCAGCCATGGAAAACGTTCGACAGCAGCCATTCCCTCTCGCCTTGCCCAGCAAACCCTACCACGGCGCGTCGCAGGCCTGCGTCCTCGCAGCTGATTCCGGCTCTGCGACAGCATGCGACGTCGCATGCAAACCTCAAGCGACGATGCCCAAATCTCTGTCAGCCGGACCATGCGTTGACACGGGGCCCGGTTTCTCCGCCCGCCGCCTTTTGCGGCCGTCTGCTCTGGCGATTCCGTTCACTTCTGCGTTTCGCGTCGCATCAGCCGCTGCGATGTATTCGTCTCCGCAATCCGCGCGCGACCCGTTCTCGCTGCTGCCAGATGAGCTAATCGTCGATATCTTCGCCCGCGTCGGCTGCGGCGCTGCTGACGTCAGTATCATATCGCTGACGTGCAGACGCTTTCGCTCTCTCACGCGCTACGTCCCAGCGCTCCGTTTCGCCCCATCTGACGTGGCAAACGGTGACCGCGTTGCGGTGACAGCCTCTCCCACGCGACTCGAGGAGCTCGTGTCGCGCATGGTCCTGAAAACGCGGTCGCTGCAACACCTCCACGTGGCGTCGGTGTTGGCCGCCGACGGCGCTGGTGCCTGTTCTTGCTCGGAGAATGACGGCAGCGGCGCGGCGGAGCGGCATCATCACGCCGCGTGCGCTGGTGCTGGCGCGAGTGGCAGCGACTCGAACGGCTGCTGCAATTTCTGCGGTTGCCACGTGGCGGCTCCGCAGCAGCACCCGCGCGAATTCATCTTCGAAGCGTGGATGCGCCACGTCGGACCTCAATTACAATCGCTCGTCTTCTCGCGCTCCCTGCAGCCTCCGCCGCGCAGCAGCAGTTGCGCCGGCTCATGCGGCGGTTCTTCCGGCGCGACCCGCGGGATGACGGTGAACGTGTGGGAGAACGAGGATCTCAGCGTGCATTTGCGCCACGTGGCGCGCCATTGTTCGTCGCTGCGATCCCTCTCCCTGGGCTCCCTGTCGCTCTCGTCGTCCCTGCTGACGTGTCACCTGCCGCAAATGCGACACCTGGAGCACCTCTCGCTCTCCTGGATTCACGCGTCCAATGAGAGCCTTCAAGCCGTCCTCGACGCTTCGCCAAACCTTCGCCGCCTCTCCATTTTTATGGCCACGGGCTGCCCGCGGATAAATCTTCGCCTGCCCGCTACAGTGGAGCACGTCGAGCTCGCGTATCTGCGCGCCGAGTCCTGCTCCTTCCGTAACGCCCGCGCGCTCCGCTCCCTGTCCGTTCGAGACATGTTCGTCCGCTCCGTCTCGGTGCGCGACGCGCCGGTTCTGCGCCGCGTGGCGGTCGCGAGCGCGAGCGTGCTCGAGGTGGCGGCTCCTGATTCGCCGCTCCTCGCCTCGCTGGACCTCAAAGCCGGGTCGTTCGGCTGGGCGGCGATTAAAGCCCTGGTTCAAACCGCGGGCGCGTCTTTAATCTCCTTCTCGCTAGACTTCTTCTCCGCGGGACCCGGTGCGATTTGCGCTGGAGTGTTCTCCTTGACCTGGCTCGCAGCCTCGTGTCCGAACCTGAAGGCGCTCAGCTTCGGCGCGCTGCCGTGGCAACTCGTCGTCTCGTGGGCGGCCGCGGCTGGCGCGTTCCGCGCGGACGGCTGGCGCGCGCAAGGCGGGTACGCGGAACGCGGGTACGAAATGCGCGCGGATTACCCATGGCCGCAACTGGCGGAGATTAAGGTGCGCGTGCAGGAGGAGCGACCCGAGGCGCTGCTGCTGCTGCACACCATGCTGTGCCGCATGCCGTCCCTGAGATCGCTGCAAGTAAGCTTAGTTCCTGGGGATGATGAGGAGGAGGAAGAGGTAGAGGAGGAGGAGGAGGAGGAGGAGGAGGAGGAGGAGGGAGATGAGGGGTATGAGGGAGAGGAGGTTGAAGAGGAGATGGAGGAGGGGATGGGGAAGGAGGGGGAGATGGAGGATGAGGGAATGGGGGAGGAGGAAGAGGAGAAGGATGTCAATATGACTGGAGAAGAGGCGGATGGCCCTATGAATGCCACCGCAGCAGCACCAGCAGCAGCAACGCCAACAGCAGCACCTGCTGCCTGCGCTACAGCCGGTGGTGCAACAGCCGGAGCAGCAGCGGAGTGCATGGGGGCAGTGAGGTGGCAGGAGCTGTTTGTGAAAGGGCTGATGTGCCTGCAGCAGCGCTTCTCACATGTGCGGGTATGTGTGCCGGCCCCAATGCACAGAAGGGATACCGTGTGAGCGGAAGTGTGGTTTCTGACTCGACTCAAGAGGCGGCAGGAGCTGTTTGTGAAAGGGCTGATGTGCCTGCAGCAGCGCTTCTCACATGTGCGGGTATGTGTGCCTGCTGCTGCACACAGAAGGGACACCGTGTGATGGGATGTGGGATGTGAGCCGAACGGAAGGGATACCTGTCAGCGGTAACACGCCTGTCAGCAGCAGCGGCCAGCCTGTGTACCAGAAGGGATAGTACCATGTGCCACCAGCCACTTTCTGCTTCATTACAGGCACACCCATTCTTTCATGGCTAAGTTACAGGCCAGCAGCAGTACATTACCAGTAGTGTTCAGAGCGCCTAGTCATACTAGCGCACTAGTATAAGCATGTGTTACTATATACAGTAGTATATATACATGTACACACTATTACAAAATTATTATTCTCTGACATTATTCTGGCTGTTCCTCCCACAGAGATTCTGTGATGCGTGTTCATTCAGGGTCAAATTGTTGGATCTGTTGTTACTCCCACAGTGCAGGATGCATGTAGATTTCCTGTCAGAGACTCTTTATAGCCCAATGCAACCATTGCACGGTGGTGCAGCGCAGTTGCATGGGAGGTACGGTACGGTACCTAGGCAAGGCACTGTACAATTTTATGCAAAGCCAGACCTTTCAGCAACATACAGTACCCATTCGTTTATGGCTATATTGCAGCAGCACCAGAACGCTGGGCTGGGCCGGAGCCAGATGTTACAATTGCAAGATGGTGCAGCAGCATGGGGGGGGGTGTAAGCACAGCACAGTTTGATTGTGCAAAAGCAAACATTGTGAAAGCTTTGCTTAGTCCATCTTGCAAAGGCAACGTGCTTCATTCCAAATGGGTCTTCTGAGGCAAGTGCATTATGGGTCGGCGGTGCCTCTCCAATGACTGCTGGTGGCTAACAGGCGATGGGGCGGTGGAGGTGTCCTGCAGCTGGGTGGAGAGGTCGATGAGTTGGTCTTGGGCGATGGTGACGTAGAGGTCCTTCGCGCCGTCGCTTCGCCATCGACCCATTCGTTTGAAGAGCTGGTCGGGGATGCCTAAGGCAGCTGCTGCTGTTGCTGCGCCCTTGCGGAAGGAGTGTGTTCCGATGTGCGTGGCGTCCAGCCCTGCCTTCTTGCAAGCCTCGAGGCACCAGCATCGGATGGTTGTATACGAAGGCGATTTGTAATGCGGCGAGGCTTGTGCCCCTTTGTTGAACACCCGGATCAGTGGCCCGTGTGGCGTATCCGCGAGGCCCGCGATGCGAAAGAACTCCCGTGTGCATCTCACTGCGCAGTAAGGCCCTGCCGTCGCCGCGACCGGGATCCACGTGCCCTTGCCTTCCTGGTCCGTCTTGGAGTACAGGATTAGGAGCCACATTGCCGCCCCTTCGAACTGGATGTCGTTCCATTGGAGGGATATCAAATCGGAGTAGCGCAGGAATGCTGCGAACATCAAGAGAGGTATCAAGCCTTTCTGATATTCCGCCGGCATCGTTGACTCCAGGAAGGGTCGTGCCATGTTGTGCACCTGATGGAGTGACACGGGTCCCTTGTGTTGGAAACAATAGTTCCTAAGCGCCTCTGTCGTGTCGAAACACTAAGGCACAAGCGAAGCAGAGCATATCGAGGCACCAGCAAGTCAACCCTCGGAGGTTGAAGTAACCGCTGGAGGTTACGCGAAAGTCAAAGGTCAGCGACCTTTGACCTGACAAATGCTGCGCGACAGCAAGGACACACAACTGACTCTTTACAGAGCAGTTGCCCGAGTCGTCACTGTATCGAACCGCAACAGCAACAGTAAAGTAGTTATAACTGTGTCTCTTCATATTCTCTGTATTCATATATAATCTTGTATCTCTTTGCTTTAATCAATTCACTTTGCCCTCACATACTAGCGCAAGGTGGTTCACAAACTCTTTATAAAGACGCTTCCGCTACTACATCAACTCTACCCAGAATTCACCTCTGCAAAGATCCTAAGGGCTTTTTCAGCCCAACATGGTATGAGAGCTTTCAGGGGGAATTCGACTTATATACCAACACTGTCAATCAGCATGGCTACACAAAAGGGAAGGAGCAACTCCAACGGATCACAGGGCACTACTCCTACTCCACCTCCTGCCTCTGGCCTACAGACAGAGGAGGGCACGGCAACAAGACCCAGAGCAACATCTACAGAGACTCCCGCAAATCATCCTGCGGACTTCGACCAGAGCATGATGGAGAAGTTCTTCTCCTTCATGTCCTTCTACGAGCAACATCAGCAATCGGCACCTGCGGAATCACACAACAGCAACAACAACGGAGCAACACCCATGAGTCTCAACGGCTCATCGTATGCACGAGGAAATCAGCAACAACAGCCTACCTTTGCTCCGTACGAGCGCGGATCCATCAGCTTCATGCCACACCTGTCAGAGGTCCACTGGTGATCCCCGATTGATCCTAGGGAAGGGTTACATGCACGTTGGCCTGGGGGGTTATGGGCGCACTGACCCGCTACTTAACAAGCCCTTTTATCCCAATGGTCTAGTGGTTGGGATTCTGACATGGTATCAGAGCGAAGGTCTTGGGTTCGAATCCCGGTGTATGCACTTCGGGCATCCCAGTGCGGGGGGGTGTCAGAGGTCCACTGGTGATCCCCGATTGATCCTAGGGAAGGGTTACAGGCACGTTGGCCTGGGGGGTTATGGGCGCACTGACCCGCTACTTAACAAGCCCTTTTATCCCAATGGTCTAGTGGTTGGGATTCTGGCAACACCCACAGCCCTCACCTGGACAAGAAAAACAACTGGACGCACTACAAGTTCAGTCGCAGTTTGCACATGTTCTGAAGATGCAGACGTCAAGACCTTTCGATGGAAAGGATTTCTTCACCTGGTCGTTCGAGTTTGAGCTGATGATGGAAGGCGCGCAGATACTCGGGTTCTTCGACGGGTCCCTGCCATACCCAACAAACGGCACACAGTACGAGAAGCAGCAATACACCTATCAGTCAATGATGGCGTACACGATCCTACTGAGAAATATCACCCCGACTCAACAGCAAAACATAAGGACTTACCGAGGTTACGGTAACTCCGCGGAGCTCGCGTACAACCACCTGAAGAGCCTGTATCAAGCAACAGACAGTGTAAGTCAAAGTCGGTTAATGGCACAACTGACAACGGTTGAAATGAAACCAGGGGAGAAAGGAATGGCGTATATCAGTCGATGTCGCGAATTGCGCGACAAGCTTCTTCGATGAGAAGGATCGATTTCAAAAGACGCCTTCGTGACAGTCATCATCGGCGGCCTCGGTCCTCAATGGCGCGCCACAAAAGCCATCCTCCGAGCTCACGGAAGAATCTCCGAAGCAGCGCTCTGCGCCGAAATCCATGCCGAGCAGCAAGACATGGACTTGCAAGAAGAACGACACAAAAAGAAGACTTCAGCACCAGAGTTCGCGTTCCACACCCAGCGATGCTACAACAACAACAACAACTGGCAGCAACAACTGAAGCTAGTACCTCCGTTCTGCCACATCTGCAAAACTTCAGGACACCCGCGCACGCACTGCCCGAATCGTCAACAATCAACAACCCCGCAGCGGCAACTTCGGCCTTCAAGCAGCCAAGTCGCCTCAACGCAGAAAAATCCTACGACTCAGATTCAAGCTTCAAAGACTTCAACAGGACAACCTGCACAAGAAGCAAGAAACATCGTCAGCTGCATGACAAAGATAACAGACTCCTGCATCACCGAGTCACCACCACACTACTCACCGGAAGAACAACTCGACGAAACCACACCCCGACGCGAGTCACTTCAGCCGAACCCGACATACGCCGCCATCGCTCAAAGCGAACCATCCGGAAGGGACACTTGGTTCTTGGACAGTTGCTGCGGACAACACATGTGTTCCTCAGGACGCTTCGTTCAACGTGAACACCAGCTTCAACGCGAAGTCGTCATTACAGTCGCCAACAACCAAAACCTGCGAACACGACGACAAGGCGTATTTCAACTTCAGTCAAGGGAAACAAACGTCGTACTACACATGTCAAAGGTACTAATCGCGGAGGGACTCGGCTACAACTTACTGAGCGTCAGCCAGCTGATGGCGAAGGGGATTCATCTCGAAGCAAACAGTACCACTCAAGAATTCAAGCTGTATCACGGGAGAGGAGGACTCTACATCGGCAGGGCGGTCCTCAAGAACAACGTCTTCGTTCTTGATTTCGTCCCTGACCTTGGCACTGCCGACAGCGACGCCATCGTCAACTTCACCGACTGGACACACCCTCCGGACCTTGATTCAGACTTCAGTGGAGAAGGCTTCTGGTACTCACATACCATCCCTGAAGCAGAAAGAACAAGGGCGTTAGCAACAATCCAGACAACATCGGCAGCAGCAGAGACAACATCGGCAGCAGCAGAAACAACATCGGCAGCAGCAGAGACAACATCGGCAGCAGCAGAGACAACATCGGCAGCAGCAGAGACAACATCGGCAGCAGCAGAACCATCAACGGCAGCAGCAGGAATGTCAACACCAGTTGCTGGTCCTTCAACGACGCCACTCCTCATCGACGACACACCACCAACACCAGCGCAACAACTGCACCCAGCGCCACGAGAAGCTCATCGCAGCACCAACTTCACCGCCAGCTTCTACTCCGACTCCGACAACAGGCGATCACGCACCGGCTACATCTACCGTCTCGAGCCTATCGGGCCTATCTCCTGGCAATCGAGCAAGCAAGAACTAATTGCTCTCTCGTCAGCTGAAGCAGAATATATTGCACTCTGCTCAGCCACCAAGGAAGGACTCTATCTTCGCGAGCTATTGGAAGAAGCGAAGTTAGCCGAGTTACACAACTTCACCCTGTTCTGCGACAACCAGTCGGCAATTCGCATCGCCAACAAGAACGGCTTCGCGAACAGGACGAAACACATCGCCCTACGATACTTCTTCGTGAAGGACGAGATCGAGAAAGGAAGGCTTGAACTGTC